GGATTTGCAATGTAACAGTGCTGGCAGCGCCAACTTTTATTATAATATATATAGGGCGGCAGAAATAAAAAGGGAAAAGACCCTTGTGCCCCTGCTATAAGTGAGTACAATAACAGACATAACAAAAGTGGAAAAAATAGAAATAAAAAACACTTTAACTAGCCAAACAGACCCTAACGTCAACAACTAAATTATTTCAACACGAAGTATTCCTAATAGAGCTGATAAACCCTTGTGGTGTTGTCTTGTCCATAGTAAAGTTTCTTGGCATGTTCCCATATATCCTTTGCTGTATCTAAAAACATGAAATTAACATAGATTCTAGGCTCCATACTGTTCCATAACCACGTCATAATTTGAGCATCATCTTGCTCCCAATCACTAAAACCCGGGGATTCAGCACTAGGCTTCTCCTCCTGTACATGTTTCACTTTCTTCTAGCCTTCAAAAACACCTCCACCGATTTGGCCCACGGAACATAGTTTTCACCATTAAGTTTGATGGAGGTCATCTGAACATTTAAAAAATCAGAGGAAATCATGACACTCGATTTCTGGTCACCACTTGCATCTCCCATCGAAGCCATTTCAATCTACAAAGTCGGTTCTGCCCATCACACACAAAAAAACAGTTCCAACCACTGCACTACAGTTCGTTATCTACCACACAAGCACACTTGCAATCACCAAGTACTGGCCTTAGCATACATTTGGCCACTTCAACCACCACTGTACTGCTAACATGCAGATTTAAAACCACAAAGATTCCCTCTTGAAACTGCTCATTAGAGGGTTCAGACTACCATGACTGAACCCACTCGACCACCACAGCTGTCACACCCATGGTGACATCAGTCTACACGAAAAAAAAACCCTTTTTTTCTTGTCACTTGACTGTTGTTCTCTTTCCCTGCCACCAGAAGTCAAACCTCTGAAACCCTAGAGGTTGCCGCAGGAATCTGGGTTGTGCCGCAGTCTTCTACCCCCAGATTTCTCACACCAGAGAAAAAAACGAAAAAAAGAAAAACTGAGAAATATTAGTTGAGGAAGCTGTAATCGACTGCTGTCAATGGCACTCTGATACCATGTTTGTGTTGTTCAGCCGAACCGAGAAAAGAGGAAGAAAGAAGAGAAGAAGAAGATGATGAACAGTGTTGAACTGAGGAGACATACAGCTAAACATTACAAAAAATAAAATTACAAGGATGGAAATGCCCCTGCATATGAGGAGACATACAGCTAACACTTGGGGGAAAAGACCAACATAACCCTCTTTAGTCGACTCTAACAGATGGGATGTTTTTGCACCATATTGTGTTCACAGGGACCACAACTTCCTCTACTGTCACCAACTGATCAGAAAACAATTTAACTGAAAACTTCTCGGATGTCTCCAACACCCATAAGCTGCTCTCTGACATGGATGGCTTTACCTGACTGCCATAAAATCTTTGCAACATTTCTGTCATAGTGCCAATTTCCCAGTTATTTAAATTCCTCTACTACATTGATTGCAAGCTTTCTTGACTCCCTTCCAAACTGAACAGTCATAGGATTGATTAGATGCTCCTGGATACCATCTAAAGTTCCTTGTCCCATATTTTGCTTGAATAACTCTCCACCATAGACTTCCTTGTTGCTTCCCCAACCTCCAAAACAATTTCCCTAGTAGGGCAAAGTTTACATCTTTTAATCAAATCTTAGGTCTATACCACCTTGTTCCAATTAACCATATGATACTTCTCATCCCTCCACACCCTCTACAAAAGGTCTCGTTTTCTTGCTAATGCTCGCCACCATTCCATCTGGTATAGGGTAAAGAGACAACAAATACGTAGGCATTGATGCCAATTCACTCCTTAACATCCACCATTTGACAGATATTTTGCTTTCCAAGAAGCTAGTTTCTTTTCAATTTTCCACAATAGGGTCCCAGATTTCCTTAGAAGACACTTCGCATCCAAGGGCATTCCCAAATACTTTGATGGCAACTTTCCCACTTTACATCCCCATTCCTCTGCCCACTGAATTAACTCCTGGACCTCTCCAACCGCCAATAACTCACTTTCATATAAATTTACATGAAGCCCTGACACTACCTCAAACCATTTGAGAGTTACCATTAAGAACTTTTGCACAAATTAACATTTAGTATAAGAAGAGAATTGTCTAGAGGCCTTATAGCAATTGAAAATCTATAATCAATTTATTAATTGTTTAAACAGCATGTTAGTCAACATTAACCACCAGGAGTAAATTTTGGGGTTTAAAAAGTCATAAGCATGACAAATTCTTTGGCCATCAACCTACTCTACAAGGTCTAACTGGACCATAAAAATGGTAATAAGAATAAATAAAAATTCAATACAACATTTAATTTATCACTTTATGTGAATCATATTGTACCTCTTTGGAAAACAATCCCCCAACTGCAGATAAGCCAAGAAGAACATCAGGCTTTACTTGTCGAACCTGGTCAGTATAGAGTTAGAATAACAACAAATGTGAGTTATTTAGTAAATGTGACAAAAGATATGGCATTCATCTCAGCTAATAGTTCTCTGTCTGCATTCTAGAATGTTTATAATTTTTAAATCAAAAAGTAATATGTGGCTTTTTGGAATGATATAATTTGCAATAAAATCTGTTAATAAAGCACCTGATAAAACTAGAATTAACAGCTACACTTATACCAAAACATAAATCTCAAGTGCTTAACTCAATGATATTATCCCTACCATTTTGGGTTCGCTGCAGCTTCCTTATCCAAAAAATTCAAAATCAATATCTAGGCCTTAGAAACACCGGATTGATGATATTAAAAATGCAACTACATTGACCAAACAAGAGACACATTTGAATGGACTCACATAATTTCTTGCTTCATTGTGACATAACTGTTTAGGCCTTTAGGTGACAATGAACAGATTATGGATGGATATGCTCAGTGCAAATTAGCCCATCAGATTTTACCAAGGGGAAGCTAGTGGTAACTATTTAATGCATGCAATTCAGTACGTCATTGGATAATGACCTTTTTTATTTCAGTAAGTCAACTTCCTTAACCCTCATTACCAAAAATAATATTCCTTAATCCTCAGGTACAGGAGCAACAATAATAATACCTGGCATACTGAATAGACAAGGATACTGTGAATGCATTCACATGATCTTTCGACTACCATTATTTTCTTGTTTGTGGATAACTATTCATGATATTCTTGTGTATACTTGATGAGATCTCGTGATGAGATACCTTCTTTGGTACAACAGTACCATCAAATGGAGTATGAGTGAAGGTGTTCAGATTAAATAATTCTAGAGAACACTTTGAGAAAAACCTGGCATCATAATCATATTTATTAGAGAATGAAGTAGTTCATTAGAGCAGTTACACATATACTCCACAAGAGAATAGTGTAGCGAAAAGGAAGAATGGATATATTGTGGAAGTAGCAAGAAGTATGATGGTGAGCTCCACAGTTCCAATTTGGTTTTGAGATGATGCAATTCTCACAACAGTCTTCTTGACTAAATGGGTATACTGTTCTATTCAGCCTTCATGGATATACTGTTCTATTCAGCCTTCTTTTATCTAAGGGGGAGATGTTTCATGTTCCATTGTGGGTGTTTGGGTGTGTATGCCTTGTCCATATCCTTGGTCCTCACCGCTCAAAGCTGGACCCTAAAGCAAAGAAGTGTGTTTTCCTCGGGTATGTAGAAAATCAAAAGGGGTATCGTTGTTATGATCCAACGTTAAGGAGTCAATATGTCACTTTCTTTGAGTCCACACCTTTCTTTTCAGGAAGTCTTTCTCAGGGGTAATGTTTTGGGGGAGGAAATGAGCAACTCACACCACTTCCTGTTCCAGCTCCTTTGCCTGCTCTAGTGTTTGACCCACCTGTTCCACCTACTTTGCTTGCTCCATTACATCCTACTTCTCAGTTTTATACATGACAGCGCCTACAACAACACAAGGAGGTTGATTCCACAATAGAGGAACCCATGCCACTTCCCATCAGTTCATCTGAGATTCTAGGTTCAGATGACACAAACCCAGGTATGCCTTTTGCTCCATTTGATGTTTCAATTCCTATTGATACTACCACCCCTATTCCTAAAACCATTGCAAATGACCTAGACCTTCCTATTGCACTCTAGAAGGGGAAGAGAAAGTGCATAGCCCATTGTATCTCACATCGTCTTTCTTACAATGGGTTATCTCCCTCCTACATAGCCTTTCTTTCTTCTCTTGACTCTATGTCTATACCCAAGACTATTAGTGAGGCTCTCTCCAAACCTGAGTGGAGGACAACTATGTAGGAAGAAATAGAAGCCTTGACTAAAATCAAACATGAGAAATTATGGATTTACTTGATGGGAAGAAGATAGTTGGTTGCAAATGAGTTTATACTATGAAGTATTGGGTTAAATGGAAGCATATAAAGGTATAAAGCAAGGATAGTTGCAAAAGGGTACACTTAGACTTATGGGAAAGCTACTTGGAGACTTTTGTACCGGTAGCCAAGATGAGTTCAGTTCGGATCCTCTTATCTCTAGTAGTTGCTTACTCTTGGCCCCTCTTCCAACTTGATGTGAAGAATTTTTTTCTTAATGGAGATTTGCAGGAGTAGGTGTGCATGAACCTTCCAGCTGGCTTTTATAGTGATGTGACCAAAGGAAAGGCATATAGATTGAAGAAGTCCTTATATGGTTTGAAACAATCACCCAAAGCTTGGTTTGATAGGTTTAGGAGTGCATTGATTGTGTTTGGTTATACTCAAACTTAGTTTGGTCATACTTTGTGAAGAGAGGGGGATCATTGGTGTCAGTGTCGATAGTGTATGTGGATGGCATTGTAGTCATAGGAAATGACTTGAGTGAGATTGATGCATTGAATGAAAACTTACACCAGGAGTTTGAGATTAGGGATCTTGGGAAGTTGAAATATTTTCTAGGCATTGAGGTGGCAAGGTCTAAACATTGGATCTTCATTTCCCAGAGGAAGTATGTGTTGGACCTACTATAAGAGACAAGAAAACTTGGGGTTAAACCAGTTGATACACCCATTAACCAAAATCAAAGAATTAATGCTTCAGATGGTGAGCTAGTAAAGGATGCTGGGAAGTATCAAAGATTGGTGGACCAGTTATTATACTTGTGCATGACAAGACTAGATATCTCCTACATAGTTAGTGTGGTAAATCAGTACATGCATGCCCCATGAGTTCAACACTAGGAAGCCATTGATAGGATTATTGCCTATTTGAAAGGACATCTAGGCAAAGGGATATTGTTTGCTAACCATGGACATTTGAAGCTGGAAGCTTACACAAATGCTGATTGCACAAGGTGCCTAGATGACAAGAGATCTACATTAGGAGTATGCACTCTTGTTGGAGGTAATTTGATTTCATGGAAGACTAAGAAGCAACCAATTGCAGCCATGTCAAGTGTAGAAGTTGAATGTAGAGCTATGGTATATGATGTTTCAGAGCTTCTTTGGGTTTGTTTCTTACTAGGAGAGATTGGAGATGATGTAGAAGAATCTATGATGTTGTACTATGATTATCAAGCAGCAATTAACATTGCTCATAACCCAGTTCAAGATGACAGAACAAAGTATATAGAGGTGAACAAACATTTCATTAGAGAAAAAAGTGTTCCTACCATATGTTGAATCTAGTTTACAGCTAGTTGATGTTCTCAAGAAAGGAGTTGCAAGAAATAAGCTTGAACGTGATCTACGCAAGTTGGGAATGTGTGACATCTACTCTCAACTTGAGGGGGAGTGTTGAGGTTCAGTAGTTTCTTATGATTTTATTGTTTATAATCATTAGTTAGTATTATTGGGTCATTAGTTAGTGTTATTGGGCCCAAAGCCCATTAGTTTATGTTGTTTTTTTTAGCTGTTTTTATGTTATGAACAATAGCCGCCCCATTAAGGGCATTTTAGTCTTTGTAATCAATCATTTTTATGAGTATATAAGATAATGAGTGGGGTCACCAGATCATTATTGGATTCTCCCCATCTCTTCTTCTCTTCCTCTTCTTCTCTTCTCACTAAGATCTCTCTCTTTCTCTCTTCTTTCTCACTGTAATCAAATCAGATTATTGTTATTTTCTTTTCTACTCAATGTTATTAATTGCCTAATGTACACGATTACCACTTGAGCCAACTTGATATTCATTTCAAACATAATGTTAGATATTAGTTTTTATTTGTGTCATAGATTATTTGGTTGATCTAAAAGAATCATTTGCATTTTCTATAAGTTTAAAATTTTGTTAAAACTAATTCTGTTGTGTAGCTTTGAATCCTAAGGTTTAAAGGACAACTTCACAACATACTATAACCTTAGTTTTTTAGCTTTGTTTGATGATTTGAAACAAGATAGTATTTTAAAAAGGTGAATCTATGCTTCCTTTTTCATTTCATAAAATATCACCCTACATTTTTGCATGCTTTACAATGTTTCCATCTTGTCAATAAATTTTACAATATTTCCATATGATAATTTTGACATTTCCAACAAGTTTCATTTATTTGCGTGACCAATATTTCCATCGACACTGACATTTTAAACACTGGCTGTTTCAAGGTGTAACTTTTGATACAAATGCTACATTGTTTTCAGATTGGCTAAAAAGGATGTAGATGGGAGAGGTAGCTGAGGCCACCTCCAGAAAACTGGGATTTCTGTATCATTGTACATATTTAATCTCTATAGTTAATACAATACAGTTTCCAATGAAAAATCTGTGCAATTCTATCATGTTTCATTTATAAGTTAATAAAGGATAGCCTATGTAGTACCACTTCAACCAAGCTTGCCCCTTCCCTTAATCCTTGGTGACCAACTTCTTTCATCTTTCTTGCAAATGGCAGAGCATTTGGATCGATATTTGCTCGCTCCTCTGTAATTAGCCCCTGGATTTCCATAAAAGAAAAATAAGTATTAATATGCAAACAGAACGGAATGGAAAAGCAGGATTCATGTAGCTGACCACATATAGTTGGGATAAGGCATGGGTGATGATGATTAAGTATTAATATTCAAACATATGTTTTCAGAAAAGTGGGTTTTCAGGACAGCAGTAGAATTCATTCTAAACCATTGCTAGACTAAAAGAATCCATATTTAAATAGAAATTTATGAATAACGGGTATCTATTAGATAAAAGAGGGCCCAAATTGCTCGTTGCAATTGTAGCATAAGACATATTTACATTCACCTAAAACTTGAGGGGCAAAAACACTTGCTTATTGCAACAATTTACTGCATGTGAGGAGAAAAGATGGAAGTTAAGGCGGTGGAGAAAACATTTAGGCTGGCAGGGAAGTGGAGAATGGAGCTGAGCATTGAAACCAAGAGCTTCATTTTCGAGCAAGGACGAACAAGGGGTAAAGATTACCTGAAAGTCATGGAAGGTAGTAGGGCTACGATCCTTTTACCAAAGGAAGCCTGTTTCTGGTTGAAAGGCTTCGTAGATGGAACAGTTAATTCTATCAAGGCAGAAGGTTGGAGGAATTCTTCTGGTTGCACTGGAAAAAGATTTGAAGAGATTCTGAAGAGGAACGAGAGAGGCTGGTTTTTCACAGTTTCAGAGCACTTTGCCCTTAACAAAAAGCAGATGTCTGCGTGCCTGAAGGACTGAGGGAACAAGGGTGGGCCTCCTTTGCTGGAAATCTTCAATCGTTCCTCTTGAAGGTTGAGAGTGAGGAAGCAGAAGAACCACTGAGAAGGCCGATGGGAAGTAACTCTACCTGAAAGGATGAGAGATTCATCATATGGATGGCCGAACCCTGCAGAAAGGTTGGGCGAAATTTCAAACATTTCTCTCTCCCATTCGGGAATCGTATTCCCCAATTTAGAAAACTGCATTTTCAAGGTTCGTTCTTGAAACAAAACCGGACCAGATCTGAAACCAAAAGAAGGGAGAGGAAAATACCTGATACAAAATTAAAAGGAACTCCCAATGTAGGTGTTCACGCCCAAAGAAGATACCAAATCCGCATCCACTGAAGATGACATAGTGTATGTTGAGGCAAGATCAACAAGAATGGTTCTTTAGCAAGAACCTAGAATTCTTCACCAAGAATCGAGTAGGGTGGTGTGAGCATGACTTTTGATTGTTTCTTCACCAAGAAACAATATCAAGAACACTTCTTGATTACTCCAGCAAGTGCAGATCGAACTGGGATGGCGCCAAGAACTGAGGGAGCAAAAAGACTACTACAAAGAGAATTGTGTTCCTTTTGTGGAATTCACCCCCTATTTATAATCCCTTCAGGATCAGCTTCCTAATCTGATTAGGAATGAGATTTCCCAATCTAAATCTTGTATTTAGATCTGGACTCTCAAGTTGATAAGACTTATCATATCCATCTGCTACTCCCGATCAAATTATAAACCCAGAATGGCCCAATTTAATTAAACCATTTAACCCAGTTCGAAATGGGCTTTAGGCCCATTAAGTCATATTGCTTACTTAACCCATTAAGTGCTGGCTAGTTTGGTTCTCTTTGTATGGCGTGGGACCCTAGCATTAATCTACACATCAGCCACATGGGTTCAGTCCCTATTGAATTATAGTCTTTGTCTTCTTTTTATCCTTCAGCCCTCCAAGGGCCTGTTTTTGTAATTATTCTTTTTCTCCTTGATAGAACTGTTAGAATTAGTTAACAGAGGCATTATTGTCTTTTTCATGTTTTTTCCTCTCTTATGTTTGTTGTAACATACCTAAGGGTATTATAGTCATTTCAGCTTTAGTAGAATGCTAATACAACCTAGGTCAATAGTAAGGAGAGAATATTAGATTTCTCCTTGCTAGTCTTCCCCTTTTCTTCTCTTTCCCTTCTCTTTCTCTTCCTTGTTAGACAGTGTATGCCCTTAGCTCCAATCAGAATGATGTACATTATGACATTTAATGTAAGTGAATAAAGTACATATTTGATTCATGTTATTATGGTGTGTTTTTGTGTAATACCCTTAAACTGGACACATATGAGACTCGTGTTAGTTTAGAATCTTCGCAGCCATTAGATAGATCTGGGGAGATTTATCCTAGCAAAGCTGACACTGATGTGCCGCCAAGTTGGTTGGGGTGGCTTGTCTCTGAAAGGGTTGGTAGAATCCATCGTATGGACGCCAAAAGGTTGCGGAATGGGTGGGCGAATTTCAAAAATTTTCTACCTACCTTCCAATTGAGAATCGCATTCCCTATTTTAGAATCAAGATTCAATGATCCTTCTTGAACCAGAACCGAACCAGATCTGAACGAAAAGAAAAAAGGAGAGATTATACCTGATCCAGAGAAATAATATCTCCCAAAGTTGGTGGTCACGCCCAAAGAAGACACCAATATCTGCTTCTGCTGAAGATGACACAACAACTGTGGAACAGAACCAGCAGAGTGCGTCCCACACACTGAATCCTTCACAAGAATCCTTTGGGAGACAATGAGCACCAAACAGAATCAGCCTTTCAGTAAAGACTGATATCAAGAACTCTTTCTTGATCTTTCTCTGACAGAGAAGTCGAACTGCTATAGATGGTGGCGGCTGCAAAGGGAGGAAGCTTGAGAAGAAGATGGCGAACTGCTTTTCTTCTCTAGGGTTTCTGAGATCCTATCTCAAAACTGCAGGGTGTGTTGTGTGTTCCCTAGGGTTCGAATTCTGGTAGTTCGAATAGGATTTCCTCCAGCTGCTTAATGATTAAGAAAAAAATCTCCTGATCATATCAGGAGTTGCCCTTATCCAAATTTGTATTTGGATTAGGACTCTTCTTAATCCTATCTGCAAATTAGATAAGCTTTTGGGCTCATCCTAATCTCAGATCCGCCCCTTGTTAATGAATGATCAAATCAGCCCAGTTCGAAATGGGCTTTAGGCCCAATAAGAATCAAGTGCTCAAAAGTCTTCCAAACTGCTGCCTAGTTGGGCTTCTTTGTATGGCGTGGGACCCAAGCATTG